CTCTCCCTCCGTCTCCCTTTCTCAGAATCCCGAGTTGTGTCCAACGACTCAGACTCGGACCTGGAGGAGGCCTCCGAGCTGCTGTCCTCATCGGAGGCCAGTGCCCTGCGCCGCCTTAGCTTCCTGGAGCAGCACCAGCAGGAGGCCAGCCTGGAGGAGGCTTCTGGCAGCCACAGTGATAGCGAAGAGCAGCTGGAGGCCGTGGCCAGGGAGGATGGGAACGGGGACGACGGGGTCCCAGCTCTGCAGCTCTCGGGGTTCAACACCAACCAGTCCAACAACGCGCTGCAGGCCCCACTGCCTGCCATGAGGCTCCGTGGTGGGCGGATCGCACTGGGCTCCTGCAGGGAGAGGCGGCCAGAGTTCGTCTGAGCTGGGGTGGGGCCAGGACCACGGGTGGCTGCTGCTCCCACGTGCTCCCGTCCCTCCACCTCCAGTGTCCTGGCCCCATGGCATGGCTCAGCTGCGCCATCCTGGGGGTGCTGCCGAGTGCGCCTGGACTTGGATGTCGTGCCATCAGGTGCCTGCTTCCAGGGGCATGCGGTCTCGGGGCTGTGTGTGGAGTGGGCCCTGCACGCCTTTGCACCCAGGCAGGCCTGGCTCAGTAGAGCTGGGGGATCACTGCTGTCCTGTGAAGTTGCCGTGGCCTTGGTGGTGCCCATGGGGCTGTGTGGATGAAGGACGGAGACCCTGCCCTCCTCACAGGTCTGTTGCAGGGACTGGGCATCCAGAAGCCATTCTGGGAGCCTTGGATGGGGCAGAGGCTGGGGCTTGGAGAGGTGTCAAGGGTGTGTTACAGCAGGGTCTGAACACAGGCCCTGGACTCCCTTTTCCAGGAACCCAGGTCTGGCCACCTGGGGCTTAGGTACACTGGGGTCTCCGAGCGACTGGAGTTAACTCACGCACATTTATTTTGCTGGAATAAAGTTTCTAATCAGGTCTGTTCTCTGAGGCAGCTGCAACCTTGGCAGAAGGGACCAGGGAGAGGACATAGAGGGCCCCCCAGTAGGGAGGTGTGAGGAAGAGAAAGGTCACCGCCACAGACCCAGTAAGGAGCTGAGGGAGGGAAGCGAGGGGTGGGAGGCTGAGCGCCCAGTGGGAGACAGACCCTAAGCCCCCAACCCCCCAACCCAGGGGACTCTGCATAGTCTAGGCACGGACCCGGGGCACCAAGTGACCTCCCTGGGGGGTCTGGTCCCTCCTGAGGCTGCATCAGGCACAAATCCACAGAAGCCTCAGCCCAGGATGGGTGAATTCGGGTGGGGGCTGCCTGCCTTGGGGAGTCCAGAGGAGCAGCAGCCCAAAGCACTGGAGGGGGGGGGCTGGACTCCAGCAGAGGCTTCCTCCTGCAGGTGACCAGGTCATTGTCCGTGTGGCCGCCTCTAGGGGCTAGGAAAGGGGAGGAAGGTGGTCTCAGGAGGGGGCAGATCTAGTCTGTCCAGGACAGCCTGAGGCCCACTGCTGAGCATGAGGGGGTGTAGCCCGGGTGGGGAGGGTGTCACACAGGTGTGGGCAGTGAACTCTGACTTTAAAGCAACCGGACCAAAGTCAGACCTAGCTAAACCCCACCCCTGGGCTGAGTACAAAGTGCGGCGGCCTGCCCAAGCAACACCTCTGGTGTGGGTCGGGCAGCTGGGAGGCCCTCAACAGGGGCAGATGCTGTCCCGCTCCTGGGACTCAGGCCAGTCCCTCCCCATGTGCCCACTCAGGGAAGGGTTGGCCCGAAGCCACCTCCTGTCTGACCACTGGGGTGTCTGGGCAGGTTTCTAAACCCTATTCTGGAAAGTCCCACCGCACGCCTGCCACGCAGGGGAGTCTCCTGCTGCTATGGGGGGTCACCAGCAGGCGGACGGAGTACCATGACTCTCCCTGCCAGGAACAGGGCCCCAGGAGCTGCAGCCAGGTGGGGACTGGGGTGCCCTGATGGCCCAGCACTGGCTGGGGCCTGCTGCAGGGACAAAGCCAGAACACGCCCGCACACCAACAGAGGGGACAACACCCCCATATCTAACCCCACATCTAACCCCACAGCCGGTACCTGTCAGGGCGGTAGCTACTGTACCAGCCGGTAGGTGATGTACCTGCCGGCCGTCTCGCTGGGCCGGATGATCTTCACCACCTGCGGAGGCAGGAGAGCAGGGGCTGAGGGCACCGTACAGTAGGCGGGCAGCACACCAGCTGGGGAGGGCCAGCAGAGGCCCGAGATGCTGACCCTGGGGTCATGCTCTTCTCTGGGCCCAGTGTCGAGGAGGAGGGGCGGTTGGAGGGGACAGAAGCCCCTGCAGACCAGTGGTCAGCACAGAGCCGCCCCAGGGCCCCTTCTCCTGAAGGCTCACCTGTCCACGCTTTATCCCGAAGTACCGAGCCACGGGGTCCCCCGCCTGGATCCTGGGCAGCTGGTTCTCACGGAGCTTACTGGGAAGCAGGGTTAGGAAAATGACAGGTAGGGCCGGGGAGTGGGGGGATGTGGAAATCCAGAGGCACATGTGGGGCAGAGGCCGGCAGGGCTGGAAAGGATACTATCGGGCCAGCAGCTCCGTCACTTCCTCCTTGGTCATGACGACGTGCTCAGGGACCAGCTGTCGAGAGAGAAGGCCACCAGACATCACCAAGGGCTGGGCCAGACCCCATGGGGCTCCCAGGCACTACCACCGCCCCTGAGCTACCAACCCGGCACTCAGGGAGCCTACCCTACCCCGCCCC